ATGAGCGGTGTTGTTCAATAGAGACATTGCCCCAGCATGAAGCACCTTTGCCGTCGTTGTACACTTCGCTGAAAACACACTGCTGGCGCTCATAAGGGCGTCATTCCAGGATGCGTTCACCTCAGGCGCAGCGCAGCGGCCGTCGCCCGCCGATTCAGGGATGCGGACGGACACGCTCGGTTACGCCCCCGCCGCGCCCTCGAGCGGCACCGGTTCCCCTGGTTACGCGAAGCGGCACTCCCTGTCGTGCCCGCATTTGCCTGATGCGTTATTGGCCAGAGTTTTTACCGCTGGAAAGCCCGGCAGCGGCGGCGCCACACGTCTCTCCGCACGAGGGAATGGTCGGATTTCGAGCAAGGCGCGGTCGTTAAACTTGACGGGGCGCGGCTGAGACGGTCACGTCGGCTACGTAATCGTGACGCTACCGTGATTCCCGAGCAACGGGACTTTCCGAGCCCCGTGAGCCGCACTCACGAGTCTTGGCACCACTCTGCAGCCGCGTGCTATGTTTGGGACGCGCACGCGGACAGCGCCTTCGCCGGAACTGTCCGTCTCGGCGGCTGTCGGCGGGATGTCCGGCGTTCCACGGAGACTGGCGGCCGGCAGGAAGACGCGGGACTGATAGTGGTTAGGAGGCGGCTCGGCAGGGAAGATCGAGTCATTTGAGAGGAGAGGTCCGTCGGCGTGACAGTGCGAGCGCCAACTGCCGGCTCCTGCGCCTGAAAAGTGGTCAGCTTTGAAGGAGCTCACGTCCGATACACCAAGGAACGGAAGGAGGTGGTTGAAAAGTCGTCGAGACAGGTGGGTTGCTCTCGACTTGCAGTCGTTGTGAAGAAGCGCGCGGAAGAAGAATCTTCAAACCGGAGGATACTCAAAAGTCGAATTGCTCGGACCAGTCGTCTGACAACGACGCCAGCGCAGCCTAAGTCGCTGACCCGCCCGGACCTTCCCCATCAGCAGCAGCAGCGCGAGAACCATGGCCAGCACCGACCCAGCCTTCGCCTGCGTCATCCCGAACACGCCGGCCTTCGTTGTGTGGCGCGTGGAGCGTCCTGAAGCTGCGCGAGGTGCCTGCCGGGGAGCACGGCCTGTTCCACCGCGGCGACTCGTACCTGGTGTACTCGGCCGCCGAGCAGTTGGTCGCAGGTTGCGAGGTCACGCGGCGCGCTGGCGCTCCACATCCACTTCTGGCTCGGGTCGCAGACCTCTCCGGACGAGATGGGCGTGGCGTCGGCGATGGCGGTGCAGTTGGACCAGCTGCTTGGCGGGCGCCCGGTGCTGCACAGGGAGAGGGAGCGGTACGAGAGCACCGGTTCCGGTGTACTTCCGTGGCGGGATCCGGTACCTCGAAGGCGGGCACCGGCAGCGGCCTGCGCCACGTGGAGGATAGCTTCACGCCGCGCATGTTCCACGTCAAGGGGAAGCGGAGGGCGGTCATCAGCCAGACGCCAGAGGTATCCTGGAAGCACGTCAACGACGGTGACGTGTTCGTGATCGACGCAGAGCGCTTCGTCTTCGTCTGGTGCGGCCGCACGGCCAACGGGCTGGAGAAGATCCAGGCGGCGTATCTGGCGCAGTCGCTGGCGCGGCGCGGGCGGGCTCGTCGCGTCGTGATCGTCGCCAGCGGCGAGGAGCGATCCCTGACGGGCGACGAGCGCGTGGCGCTCGACGCGCTCCTGCCTCTGACGGAGAGGGTGATCCGCGAGACCGATGAGGCGCTCCTGGGCAGCGCGCCGCAGCGGCGCCCTGCGGAGGAGGTCTCTCTCTGGCTCTGCACGGAGGACGGCGGTCAGGTCAGCCTGCAGCTGGAGAAGACCGGCGGGCTGGTGCAGGGCGACCTCTCGCCCGATCACGTCTACGTCGTCGACGCCGGCAGCGTCGTCTGGCTCTGGGTGAGCCGGCGCGCCGTCAAGGAGCAGCGAGCGGAGGACCTGCGCCCCGCCGAGGCCTACCTCGCGCAGACGGACCGGTCGGCCGACGTTCCCCTCTGCCGCGTCGTCGACGGCTCCGAGCCGGCCGAGTTCAGGAGCCTGTTCGCCGCGTGGGTCGACGACGACGACCTGGTGTCGCCGGGCCGTGTCATTAAGCCGGTGCTCACCAAGTTTGACGCGGCCATGCTGCACAACAACAGTGCGCTGGCCGCGCGGACGCAGATGGTTGACGACGGCTCGGGCTACAAGGACGTCTGGCGAGTGGAGGGGAGCGAGCTGGCGCCACTGCCGGTGCGGGACCACGGCACCTTCCTCTCCAGCGACTGCTACGTCGTGCAGTACTGCTACCGCGTGGCCGGCCGGGAGCGCTACATCGTCTACTACTGGCTGGGGACGGCGAGCGACGAGGAGGCGCGCGCTGTAGCGTCCCAGAAGGCTGCTGAGCTGGACGGCAAGGTGGGTGGCAGGGCCGTGCTGGTGCGCATCGTCCAGAGCAGGGAGCCGCCCCACTTCGTCGCCATGTTCGGCGGCGTCATCGTCGTTCGCGATGGCGGCGCTGCCGCTGCCGCTGGCGACGCGGAAGCCTATGGCGAAGCGAGGAGCGCGACCGAAGCGGACGACCGGGCTCTCGGAGACGCATACCTGCTGCAGATCGCCAGCGTCGGCCCCCACGGCGCGAGGGCGTGCGAAGTGCCGCGCTGCGCGGCGTCGCTTCACTCCAACGACGCCTTCGTCCTGTCCACGTCCGCCTGCGTGTTCGCGTGGTGCGGACGCGGCTCCGGCGAGCAGGAGCGCGAGGCGGCGCGCGCCGTCGCCCATCAGCTCGACCCTCACCCCGTCGTCGTCGACGAGGCCGAAGAGCCGGCGCCGTTCTGGGAGGCGCTGGGTGGGCGCGGCGAGTACAGCCACGAGCCGCGCGCCGCGAGCCGACCGCGGATGCCGCCGCGTCTCTTCCACTGCTCGAGCCCGCTGGGCCGCTTCCGCGTCGAGGAGGTGGTCGACTTCGACCAGGCCGACCTCGGCGAGGATGACGTCATGCTGCTGGACACGTGGGATGCCGTGTTCGTGTGGCTCAGCGTGCGCGCCAACCGCGCCGAGCGCCGCCGCAGCGAGACGGTGGCGCTGGAATACCTCCGGTCCGACCCGGCCGGCCGTGGCACGGACACGCCCGTGTACCGGGTGCACCAGCAGGCCGAGCCGCCCATCTTCACCGGCTGCTTCGCCGAATGGGACGCCGACTTCTGGGCTGCGCAGCCGACCTGGCCGGCCGTGCAGCAGGAGGTGGCCGCCGCGCCGCTTCCGCCGCCGACGACGGGAGAGGACGCCGGCGAGAGCTTGCCGGTGTTCCCGCTAGAGGCGCTGCGCGCGCGCCGGCCGCCCGAGGGTGTTAATCCGGCGCGACGCGAGGAGTATTTGGCGCCGGAAGACTTCAAGGACGCGTTCGGCATGACGCGGGAGGAGTTCCAACGTCTGCCGGCGTGGAAGAAGGCGCAGAAGAAGCGAGAGGCCTCCTTGTTTTAGGTCTAGCGGCACTCCTGGCTAAGTCTGCAACATGGCAACATGGCAGCGTGGCATCCTGGCAACAACGAAGCGCGGCTCCATCACGGTTCCAACGTAGCAGCAGCATGCTTTGTTTTCGTTTGGAGGTAATTGGGGAGGGGGGGGGGGGGGCTGGTAGATATGACGGCGTTACAGTCTCTGTGGAACGCACAATGTTTTCTTGTTGAAGTCAGTGGAATTTGATGAGGGACACGAAAGGGGTGCGTGATGGGCGATGCGGATGCACGATATAACCAGGTCCACCCTCCCCCTCGTAAGATTGACGAGATAGCACGTGGGTAGCAGCATACTCCGCTGTTGAAAAGCACGCAGTTCAGAAATGTTTTGTATAGGTGTTCCAAATACCTTACAATGCACTGCGTGCTCGTAATCTTGCCTCGCCAACGCTTATCACGCTACATTGACCGCCAGCATGTGTCGGAAGTGAAATGCGATCGAATTGTATGCCGTTTAAAGTTGGATGAATGCAACGAGTGCATCTGGTGTTAATTGCTTTTGGTCATTTTTTGACATCAGCAGGCTAAATATATATGACCGCCTTGGAACAGCCTCTTGTCGTTTAGGTTGCATGATGAATGAAAAGAAGCGCAATGAGGCTCGAACCCAAGAAGCGATGATATGTGGAAATGTTTAGGCTAGATGGCGTCTTTAGTTAGGTGGTATTTAGGCATTTTGATGTGCGGACAACAACTAAACTCCTGTCGCCATCCCGAGATGCTCATGTTTTGCAAGTCGTGTATCTTGTTTGGATGACCTTACCTGGGCTGGCCCTCTCACCCAGCCTCGCCTGGCGTGCCACGATCTGACAGGACAGCCTAAGCATGCCCCACCGACTTGCCGTCCAATTAATGTGCTTGGCGTTCTATCACATGTGGTACTTTGTCCGCTTTAAAATGCTGATCAGGACTACTGACTAAACACATGGCAGATCACGCCCGCTACATCACAACCCGTTTCCACCAGAATTTTCCATTCCGAATGAATGGACGTCTGGGAAAACGACGGACGTGAGAACGGGTTTACGAATGATGAGAATTAATGGCATTGTCATTCGCCGGCAAGACGAGAGCGCCTCTGCTTACTGGTCCGTGTGGAATGTCTCAGCGTAGCACGGAGATTGCGTCGAGAAGATCATAGATCATACGAAGATCATAGATCATACGCTTCTGAGCCTGGCAGGGGAAAACAAATAACGTATTAGCAAGCCAAAGTTTTTACTTGGTGTTAACGGCCTTCAGTCTACCAGGTGATGTTTTTTAGACGACTTTGCAGCGGTAGGTAACGATTATATTACTACATTAATTTGTTATAGGCACTACAATGTTGTTTAACGAGCATCTCCTGGAACATTGAGGGTCGTTAACTCTACATAAAGACCTGAACTCATGACGTCGGAAACGAGGAGCTGAACACATTTCTTTCCGTCTTTCTTATATCAAACACATCACGGATCCAGCTCTGCTCAAAAATCGACGAACTCCGCTGCACCAGAATTGCTGCAGCATAGTTTGCCGTCTGTCCGTGTCGATCAAACTTGTTTGCTGAGCCTCTGAAGCATCTCCTGATGATCTAAGTCAAGCTCGAATGCGCAGGTGGCGCATGCACCCGACATGGCCCCATCAGTTTCGCAGCCTATCGCGCCACCTGAAGCGTGGGAACAAACATTGCTGTCACCGTACAGTCATTGCTCTGTTCCATCAAAACATGGTCTTAAATAGCCTCTAGCTCAAACCATGCTGTAACGGATAGCAATCCCTTTGTGCCACCGAAGCAAAGCCTTAACAAGGCTCCAGCCCAAACATCCCGGCCACTCATCTGTCCTTTCGTCTGAGCTGCGCCATTTTTGCCGCGCTCGTGCCGTCGCCCCGCGGCATCGGAGCAGCGGACTGCTCTTGCCGCACCGGGGAAGCCCGCCATGAACTGAGCAGGCCCCCGCAGCGGCGTGCCACCCCAGCCATCGAAGCAGTGGACTGCGTCTCAGCCGAAGCAGCCGAAGCAGCTGAAGCCGCTGCGCGGATGTGGCCGGGTGTGATTCAGGTGTGACTCGGATGTGACTTGAATGTGACGGTGTGACCGGTTGGATTAAGATGTGACTCGGGTGGGATTCAGATGTGACCGAGTACGACCGGGTGTGACTGGGTGTGAATTGTGTGTGTGTGTGTGTCTCGGGTGTGTGACTCGTATGTGTGACTCAGGTGCGTGACTTGAATGTGTGACTTGGGTTTGTGAGTCGGGCTTTGTGACTTGGGTATGTGGCTCGGGTACGTGACTCGGGCGCGTGCCTCGAACGTGTGACTTGGATAAGACCGGTGTGGCGCGAGTGTGTGTCTCGGGTTTGTGACTCGGGTGTGTGAGTTGAGTGTGTGACTCGGGTGTGTGACTTGGATAAGACCGGTGTGACTCGGGTGTAACTCGAAGGTGACTCGGATGGGACCCGTAAACGCTGTCGCACCGGACAGTCGGGCGGAGTTTGTCAGATCCTTCCGGCGTTTACGTCATTACCGGTCTCAAGGAGGTGTCGTCACCAACATTGAAAAAAGCACATCATTACTTATCTTGGGGATCATATCATCAATGCTGACGTTGAGGAAGACGTAACTGCCAACGTTGATGAGCATCTCATTACTTATGTCGGGAGGACAACCTCACTGACTTCGGAGAACTTATAGCTGCTGATGTCAAAAAAGAGGTCATTGAAGACCAGGAGAAGTATGCCGTTAGCGACATAGAGGAGAACATCAAAACCGACCCTTATCATGACGTCATTGCTGGCGTGCAGTACATCAGACGATGGTGTTGATGCACGGTTGTTCGGGGTGAACGCTTCCTGGCCGCGCCGTTGAGCGGGCTCATTCCAAGCAATGACAGCGTCAAGCTGTCAACAACCATGTCAAATGGTCGTCTGGAAAGCGTTAACTGTTGATTGATTCGGAGCTTCAGAGTCCGGGGATAGCTATTTGAAGTCGAAGTGAGACACTTGGCAATTTGTGCGCACAGATTTAGCCGTCCGGTTACGCCGTCCGGTTACGCAGAATATATGCTTTTTGGGCAGGGAATCTGCCCCTCGTGGTGGGAACGTGGGAAAGCACACGGCCGCGCTCCAACTATGTGGAAATAGACACCGAGAACGCGAGCATGGTGTGGGAAAAAGCTCATCCGCGTCCTCGGATATCCCATTTGATGGTTCTAGGATCCGATCGCATCCCGGGACATCCCATCCCAGCCTTTGACCAGGGACAAAACTCCGCTTTTGCATTGCTTGCTTGGGGCTGAGAATGACACAACTGTAGAGGCACACAGTTATCAGCTTATTAATCCACGCAAGCTGAACGAAACAGACAAAAGAAGCGAAACGAAAAAAGTCGCGAAGCATAATGTTTGGTTTCATCCCTGCAAAAACAAATACAGTGACGTTCAAGCTGGACCTCTTGATAATGGAATTGGTAGATGACGTTTGCGTCGCGGCTGCTGTGACTGCAGCCTTGCGAAGCTCGGTCTGCCATGAATAGTCCTACGCTCTTACAATTCTCCAGCAAGCATCGCTGCCAGCACTCCGCTGAAGTGAGCCAGCCTGCCTTGTTACGGTCATGGCCTGCGTCCTGGAACAATTCGGGATGCTCCAAACACGGCATGCTATCGACGGCGCTCGTGAACGCGGTGAGTCGAGCGAGTCCTTAAACTTGATCAGGTCCGAACGACTGCATTTCTGGTAATCTACTTGGTCTATTGCCCCGCTTAAAGCCCTGGTTATCGCGCTGGGTATCCACTCTACGGTCGTTTATGCTATAGCGCCGTGCTTGCGAGAGGGCTTACGAGACACTGGCAGCAAGCTATGCCGGCCTCGGCGGAAATGCCAGGCCCATTTTGAACATGTGGAGCGTTCGGAAATCAATGCCACACGCTGCATGGTATAGATGGAATCCGAAACTGCATGGTGATAAAGTAATGCTGTCTGAAAGCCTTAGCTGTTGACTGCTAATTTAAGTAAGTCATTACTTTACAGCAATGTCTACAGCACTTTACGGCATTGTTCAGTTCCTGGAGGTTAGAGGAGAGACGATGTACACCGAATTTTGGCATTTCGCACTATCACCAACCACATTCTTTCACATCCGTATTTAATTCGCATTTCACAATCTAAAGCATCTGTTAAGCGTGCGGTATTGCATCAAATTAACGACTGTTAAAGCCTTCAACTACCCAAACCTTATATTGACATCGCTCTGAAATTGCAAGTGGAAAGGCCTGGCCTACAAAATCAAGCGCCCATTCGTGCTTTAACGAAGTTATCTCGTAGTTATGAGTTGCTCTTGTTGTGAAAAACGGCCAAGCAATGGCAAACTAAAGAAGTACTACATAAAACTGTACCAAGCCGAAGAAATTTAAGGGCATTTGGAAAACGCCTGATGCTCAAGCGTGGCTCCATTTATCCATTAATTAATGTTCTACATAAATCATATATTTGCAAGAAGACCTTATGTGAATGAACGCGCATCCCACTGCGTCTAGGCCTTTACAGCCCACTTTGGACTAAACACCGTGAGGCTGGAGATTCTGGCGGTTGCAAAGCATACGCCACTTGAATTATGCTTGGATGTGACTTTTCGACGACATTTACAATTTCCCAAATTTTCACATCATTGGTGAAGTGTCACGTGATCAGGAATGCCGTCATCTAAGGTCAGTGACCTTTCCAACCACCGACGTGTTGGTTGGTGACTGGATGTGATATCATGTGCTAATCAAAGGAGCAAATTCTGTCATAGCTAGGTACTCTCAGAGTTAGTTTGCAAAACTCAACAGCATGACCGCGCCCAGAAAGCGTTTTTAAATCATGTTTCGTCATCTTTTGATAGTCTTAGAGATGAAGCACTCCCTTTCACTCAGTGACGTACCGTGATGATTGTTATGTCTGCGTAATAATATGATAGCTTTTTATTCTCATAAGCTTTGGTTCGTGA